GGGTTGAAGGCAACAAGGTATTGTAGACTTTTAAGAGAACAATCTGTTAGAGCCATTCCAGTCTGCCTATCGAGCTAACCATAGCACACAAACATCCCTTCTTAAAGTCATGAATGACATGCTTACTCTTACTGACTGTGGTTCGTGAAACGTTGTTTTGCTTAGCCTTTTAGAGCTATCAGCAGCTTTTGATACAATTGATACAATTGACAATTAGATTATTTTATTTAAGCGATTGGAAGTGTCTTTTGGAATATTCGGCACTTCCCTTACCTGGTTTTGTTTTTACCTGTCAAATCAATACCAGTCTGTTGCTTAAGTCATCATATCATGATCTTTTGTATGGGGACCCCCAGAGCTCTCTCCTCCGTCCACTTTTGTTCACTATTTATACTCAATCATTTTTCAAGGAAATAGTCAGGTATGCCTTAAAGTATCATTTCTATGCTGATGATACCCAAATTAATGGTTCAACAATGGTTAACAACTTAGATGCACTTGTCCATAGTGCTGAAAATTATATTTTCTCAATGGAAAACTTGATGAACAAAAACAAAATTAAATTGATGTTGAATGATGATAAAATAGAGTCATTCTGTCAGGCAGTGAAAAGTCTGTTAACGAGGTTGATCACGATCACAAGACAAGATGCGGAAATGGCGTTTTCAAGAAAAGTTAAGTATCTTGGCATCTATTTTGATTCAGTTTGTCAATGTAGGCTGAAGTAAATCATCTGATCAGCTACATGTATTTAGAAATAAGAAATGATTGTAAAATACGTCATCTAATCAATAGTAAGTATACAGCTTTACTTGTAACTAGACTCGATTATTTGAAATCCTTGTTATCAGGAATATCACTGGAAAAAAGTTAACAGATTTCAAACTGTCCAAAACAATGCTGCACGTTTAGTTTTGCGGAAAAGAAAGCGAGACTCTGCTAAACCTCTTTTACGGACACTGGATTGGCTTCCTGTTGAGAAAAGAATTGTGTACAAGTTGGCCACCCTATGTTACAAATGCTTGAATGATAATGTGCTATCATATTTATCAAATTTGTTGAGACTGTACATTCCAACTCGAAGTTTAAGGTCATCAGATGACAAAAAGAGATTTCTTTTAGCAACTATGAAACTTAAACCAATGGGTGAGAGGGAATTTGAATATCAAGGCCCCAATATCTGGAATGCTTTGTCAAGTAATTTTAGAAAGATCAAATCCTTTGCTTCATTCAAATTAAATGTCAGTTGCAGTCATCTCTGTTTTTAAATTAATAAGATTTTGAGACATTTTGTCTTGGTCAGAACACAACGTCTTATGTTACTGTTATATTGTATCGTAAAGCGCCCAGAGCCTATATACTTTAATCGGGATTGAGCAGTATATAAATGTCACAATTTATTATTATAGTTACCAATGTGAAATAGATACAGACATGAGAATTGTGACAACATTGTGTGTCTGAGTTCCTCCCCTCCCCTTCTACACCGACCCCCTCCCCCCCTCTTAAAAAATCACTTATTATAAAAATACATTCTTGCAGGGTGCCCTGACAAAACACATTTTTCTGGCAATTTAGAGGGAAAAAAAGTGTTATGTCGGAGTAGTCTTACAGAAATGACTGTTTCATGGACACATTTTTATGGACTGCTCTTGCAGGACACATTTTTTAAATTCTTAAGGAGCTTTTTTTTTTTTCCTTAAGGAGCTCTTAATAAAATGGTAGTAGTGTGCTAATGCACAAAAAATGGATAAATTTCTCGTACATTAAAGAAGTGTTAACTATATTCAGCTAGCAATCAGTTTCATGTAAACAGTGATCGTTGAATCATGCAGAAGGGCATGTGTTGTGCTCACGTGTCAAAAAGCAAAGGGGGATTGCGCCCTGTGTTCTGTAAAACAGGAAAATAATCTTGGCTCGACAAACAATAATATGCCACTATTGTGCGGTCAAAACTTTGTGGCGTTACTTACTGTAAAATATTTCCTAAACTATAGAGCATAGACTCTATAGCTTTTGCGCAATGACTTGTATCAATTTGTCTTAACATATCAATTTTTTTAAAAAGCACTAAACACCTGTTAGCTATATTCTCGAAAATTCCTTAATAAATACGAATACAAAATCCCAGAGGGTGGTTTTCGCAGATTTTTAAAAAAAAAGGTGTACAGCTGGGACAGTATTGTCTGTGAAAACAAGTCTTTAATTTTTTTTCTCTAATCGGAACAATATTTATGCTTATTGACTTATTGAAAGCCTATTTTGAGAACCTCCAGGGCAAAAAGCGTGCTCACCATAAAACTAAAACCAGTTTCTTGTAACAAATATTTCCAATAAAGAGTGTCATTGATGAGCAATGACGTAGGCCATATGCGTATGCAAAATGTGTGCGAGAAGCGGGAAGTGCTGTGAACAATCCCATTTTCTGCGAGACAGAGATTTTTAGTATTTTGTATAAATTTATGAAAAAAAGCTTTTATTGTAGTGGAAAAATATGATTACGTTAAAATAAATTAATACAAACTGCTGTGCAAAATATTAATGACATTGATTCCCCCGTTAAAGAGATATTTGAGGATAAGTTGCGCCACGAATTTTTGACCCCACTATAGTGAATGAATAACACCACATGCCGCAACGCCCTAAGACAGCGATAGAGAATAATTATTACAGCAGTTGTGCCAGTGCTATTTTTTGCGCTCCAACATGTCAGAGAAAGGTATGGTATACACAAGGTAAGGTCATTCAAAAGTCGGGGCTTCACGGACCCAGTGTCCGTCTCCGATATAATATGGGACCTACCAGAAGGAGAGGAGGGAACAGGGGTAGCCTTAAAGCCCCCCCCCCTCCCCTTTTTCACCTCTCTGAAGGTAATTCGAGTGCAATAACGACAACAAGATCCAAGAGACCAATTATTGAAAGCAAATTCGTGCAATGTGTTTAAAATCCATGCAAATATCACGATTAACAAATTAATGCTATTCTACATGGTTTGGCTGATAGAACAGACGTATTTGAAAATATTATCCACTTTTTCTTTGCATTAAAACAACAACAACAACAACATTAATACTGAGTCAGGGCTTCGCCAATATTGTCTCTGTCACTATCATAATAATTAGTATGTTATAACTATTTAGCCTGCTTTACTATCATCATTATCTTCTTTTCATAGTTAACACCTTTACTGAAAAAGTTGAACAAAATGATATTAATGGCTTTATAACAACTTAACAAAAAGAAATCAATGTACATCAGCACAAACTGCATTATCCTACAAAATGCCAAAATTATTGCAGTAATTCTGATTCCCTGATTATTTTGTTAAAAACGAT